CTTTGGGAAGTTAGAGCTTACAAAAACACACATATACTGGGGAATATGGAAGTCACATGAATACCAAAGGAAGGGCACTTATAGAAGAACCTACGTTTTTGCCTCAAACTAATCTTAATGTTCAACATAAGCAGGAAGAGAAGGCTAAGGCAGAGTTGCAAATGAACTGACTAAATATTGAAGGAGTGTTCCGACACAGAACGTAACTTCAGAGACAGGGAGAGTTTCTCATCCTTTTCCTTTCTTTTGACTCTAGGAATTCAAGCAAATTTCTATCAAACAAAATCTGATTATAACCTGAAGGATGAGAGTTCAGAAATTACACAAGTCAAAGAACACAGACTTTATTAATATAGTTTCAAAAAGTCACTAAACAAATATTACCCAAAGTAAGCAATAAAAACAAACACCAATGAACTAGTAGAGACTGTGGTTCTGGCTCCACTGCTTACAGCTTAAAAATCACACCGGGCATATATTCTTGTATGCCCAGAAGTCCAACTGGATGGAGAAATGGAGAAGAGACTGCACTGTGACCACACCCCGCTGGGGGATGCTATCTCCCTCTTTATCTTGCTCTATTCTCTGGTGAGCCCACATGCCCTCTGGTAATTAAAAAATAATTTTTAATTAAAAAAAACACTGAGATGGCAATAGAATCAGCTGTCTTGAGTTACTACATTATAACAAATGAAATATCTAACATTTCAATGTTCATCAAAAAAATTATAAAGAAAAAGCATGCTAAGAAAAAAATTTTAAATAAATAACTGTTCCAGAGGAATACAGACAGTAGATTTATTAGACAATGACTTTAAATCACTGCCTTAAATGTGTTCAAAAAGTTAAAAGAAGTTTTGGACAAAGAACTACAGAAAACCAAGAGAAGAATGTATCAACAAAGTATTGTTAAAGACAGAGCATAAAAAGAGAAACTATGGAGCACAGAAGTACAATAAATGAAATAAAAAGTTCACTAGAGGGTTTCAAAGTATACTAGAACAGACATAAGAGTCAGCTAACTTGAAAATCCATTGAAATTACCCAGTTTAAAGAAGCAGGGGGGGAAAAAAAGAATAAAACCTAACAGACTTGTGGAATTCCATCAAACATACCAACATGCACATACTGGGAGTCCCACTGGGAGAGAAGACAGAAAAATATTAAAGAATAATAGCCAAACCTCCTCAAATTTGATAAAAAGCATGAATCTACAAATCTAAGAATCCAAGTACAAAGTAATGCACAGAAAGATACACTAAAATTGAACGTTGAAAGCCAAAGCTTAAGAGAAAGCGTTAAAAACAAGAGGGAAGATACTTTTCACTTATGAAAAATCCTCAATAAAACTAATAGTCAATTAATCCTCATCAAAAACCATGGAGGTAGGGTTGGCCCATGGCATGGTGGTTAAAGCAGTTGGATCTCATAGTAAACTTTATAATCTGAGCCTCAGATATAGCAGCTTGAGAAACACATAAGGCATGTATGACCAAAATCCTGAAAAGCAGAGAGGCACAGGAGAAAAGGGATTGTGTCATGACCATTTCCCACTGGGGGTGCTTTCTCACTTTTTCTGTCTCTCTCAACCTATGTCATCCAGAAAAAATCTGTTTTAAAATGGAGGTCATAAATATCCATCATCAAACAAATGAATATTGCCCAGCAGGTAGCATGGAGGTTAAGGCAGCTGAATCCAACATTGCCAACTTTGCAGTTGGAGTCCCAGACCTGGCAGCTTGAAAATCACACTGGGGACACATATATATATATGCCCAAAATCTTGACAGGAGAATGAGGTGAAGGGATTGTGGCATGGCCATCCCCTTGTGGGGTGATTTACTTCCTTTCTCTCTCTCTGTCTCTATCTTTCTCTGGCAAGTACGCATGTCCTATAGCAAGTTTTTTTTTTTTTTAAAGCAATAAAATAAAATGAATAATTCTTAAAAAAAAAAAAAAAGAGAGAGAGAGAGAGAAGGAGAGATTGAGGCTAGCAGGTAGCATGGCAGAAAAGGCACTGGACTCCCACATGGCCGACTGTGGTTCAAGTACCAGACCCAGTGGTTTAAAATTCATGCTGGGCACCTGTGCAAGCAAGCCCAAAATCCCAAGAGTAGAGTGGAGCAGAAGGGACTGCAGTATAGTACTCATCCCTCCTATGGAGTGATTGCTCACTTTCCCTCTCTGTCTCTCTCTGGCAAGCTCATGTGCAATGGCAAAAACCTAAAAAGAACAGAAAAGAAAGAAAGATCGAATCTATAATCAAATACTTTGTAACAAAGAAAGTCAAGAACTAGGTGGCTTCACTGGTCAGGTATAGCAATAATTTAAAGAAATAACAACTATCCCTCTCTTACAAGCTTCAAAACATAGAACTCATTCAAGGAGGCCAGGATTACCCTGATACAATACGTACATTATATTAGAGTAGCATAATTAAAACAACAATCTATTAATAAGAAGAAAAATGCTGTTTTTTAATACTTACCACAAGCTTTAGATGCAGCAACACAAATTTCTTCTGCAACATACTCCCCAGTTGGAAATGCCAGGTAATCTCCCTCAGCTTTCCCAAGAGAATGATAAAGATATACTTGAAGGACTGGGTCTATTTGCTTCACAGAATTATCATTTCCAGGTATATCACCATTTTGATGTATAGGAGATATGGGTATTCCTTCCATTTCTGTCATGGTAAGGCAAGCCATTCTCATGTAGACTCTTTTTCAGAACATTTGCCTGTAAGAGAAAATAATAGTTACAGATTAAATTTATACTGATAAAGTACCTTTCTTATACAAATAAATCTTGACAGCAGTGACTGTCAAATTCAGCAATACTGTGTACCACTGCACACAATGCACAGTGCAGAAATCACAGATTATAAACTTCTGTAAAACCATAAAACTAGTTAACAACCTAACTGAAGAACCATAATATAACTGCAACATTACCAAAACAAACAAACACTAAAGTCAATAACAGACAACAGAAGAGATCTCACAAGGTAGTATGATTATTTAACAAACTAATTACTCTGATAATCACTTATTGTTGTCTTGGGGGGGGGGAATAACATTATAAACTGAGATAATCTGATAATCCAGCTTTTTGTGAGTAAGTATTCACTGCCCCATTGAGTCTGCCCAAGAATCCCAGTTTCTTGAAGGTAGAAACCTGAATGTCTTATACAGGACTGTACTCTAAGTGCATGCAACAGTGCCTGCCACATGAAAGAGTAAATAGAGTAATGAATAAAAGTTAAATAAAGGTTATAATGAAGTTTAATAAAAACATGTTGACTAAAACATTTGTTTAATTGATGAAGAATAAAGAGTTACAATGAATTTTACTCAACCTGTGCATATACATGGAAAAAAACAGTATCTCTAATAAGAAATTTTAAAGGAAAGTATTTTCAAAGGCCAGGTTTGTGGCCCAGTAGTTAAGGGAGCTGGATCCTATATAGCCAACAGCGAGGTTTGATTCCCAGACCCAACAGCTTGAGAAAAATGCCATGCATTTGGGCCCCAAATCCCAAACAGGTAGAGAAATGCAATGTGAGTACACCCCACTGTGGAGTGCTTTCTTTCTCTCCTCTCTGTTTCTGTTTCTCTCTGGAAAGCACCCACTTTCTAACAAAAAAAAAAAATTTTAATGTAAATATTTTCAAAATTACTGGGAACCAGCAGTTAGCATAATGGCTATGTCGCTGGACTCCCACATAGTTGACTGCGGTTTGCGTCCCAGACCCAGTGGCTTAAAACTCATGCCGGGCGCGTGTGCGTGTGTGCCCAAGATCCCGAGAGGAGAATGGAGGAGAAGGGACTGTGGCGTGGCCATCCCCCCTGGGGGGTGATTTCTCACTTTCTGTCTCTCTGTCTCTGTCTGGCGAGCGCACACGCCCTATAGCAAAAACCTCTCAAAAAAAAAATATTTTCAAAATTACTAAACTGGTAGCCAACAGATCCTTAAGTCCTTTCTTACTACAAACTAGTTATATGACAATAAATCTCACCCTCCTTACTTCTATAATGAAACTAATGAATTAAATCTCATATGTTACTCTCAACTCTTAAAAGCTGAGTTCCAGTTAATCAACGCATAATCTAAGTACTAATTAAAAAATTAAGTGCTATAAAAGTGACAAGGAAAAAAAAATCACAATTACTAAAAATAAAGAAGTGTTTTAGAAGTTTTATACAGGTTGAGGTTAGCAGGTGGTATGGCAGGCAGTTATAGCGCTGGACTCCCACATGGCTGATTGCAATTCAAGTCCCAGACCTAGTGGTTTGCTTTCTTACTCTCTGTCTCTCTCTGGTCAAACTGAAGGAAAAAAAAAAAAGAAGAAGAAGAAATAAAATTAAATAATTCAAATAAATACCTTTTATTCAGGTCTATGGCTAGACTTGAAAAGAAATACAGAATTCAGACAAGTAATGGAAAATAGGACATTACTGGAAGGGAGAAAGGTATGAAAAACTTGGAAAGAAGAGATGCACAGTGTGTTCCTAGAACAAGGTAGAGACAAGTTTGGCTGGATCAGCAGGTTCAGATAGGTTAGTACTTCTCAACTTTTCCACAGAAAAGCCCCAGGTGGCAGTGGAGTGTCTGAAGAAGGAGCAAAGAGTATAAAATACATTTGAAATGTTATGTTGACCTTTAATAAATAAAGAGTTACAATGAATTTTATATAATCTCTCATTTTACTTCAAATATAGGAACTTTGGTTTACTTTTCTTAAATACACCAAATTTGATATTACAAGTATGTATATTTCTCCTACATTTACTCATATTCTTTATTGGTAACCCTAAATAAGGTATAGTGAAACTTAAAAGTATTTTGTATTACACTTGGCTTTAAAGACTACTCAATTTTAGAGGTGTTTTTGTTTATTTGTTATTTTTTAGGTTTTTGACATAAGGCACATGCACTTGCCAGAGACAGACGGAAGAAAAATGAGAAATCAATCCCTAGGGGGAATAGCCATGCTGTAATCCCTTCTCCTCCATTCTCCTCCTGGGATTTTGGACACACACACATATACATAAACATGCCCGGTGTGATTTTCAAGCTACTAGATTCGAGACTTGAACTGTGGTCGATTAAGTGGGAGTCCAACGCCTTAATCACCACACTGCCTGCTGTTCCCAAGACTAATCATATTTTTCAAATACACTTTTATCACAAAAAAAGAATAATGGGAAAAATGCTTTGGGTTGTTATTAAGCAAGGAAGACTATGATTAGAAGAAAGGTCTTTATAAGCATTTATGCTTTGACATAATAAAGGATTTGGTCAGCCTTTATTCCCCTCTTTCTTCTTCTCTAATATCAATCCATTAGTATGAGAGAGTCATAAATAGTCAGAAATGTTGAAGTTCTCTCCTTATGTACTGATAGTTCTACTTCAAAACTATTCACTTTTTTTCATCTCCATAATTACCACCAACCAACTAGAAATGATAGACTAAGCAGCTATTATTTCCTCCTAACTATTTTCCCTAAGCCTACTTTGATCACAACAACCAATCTTCACAAAGGGGCTACAGGTTATGTTTCTTTTTTTTTTCTTTCTTTCTTTCCTTTTTTTTTTTTTTTAGAGAGATTTTTGCTATAGGCATGTATGCTCACCGGAGAGACAGAGAGACAGAAAGTGAGAAATCACCTGCACATGGGAGATGGCCACACCAAAATCCCTTCTCCTCTAGTCTCCTCTGGGGATTTTGAGCATGCATGCACAAGCTCCTGGCCTGAGTTTGAAGCTGCCAGATCCAAGACTCAAACCACAGTCGACTACATGGGAGTCCAGTAACTTAACCATTATGCCATCTGCTGGTCTCCCACAGGTTATATTTCTTAAATGTAACTCAATCCTGTTCTAAAAATCTGAAAATTCTCTAGTGGCTTTTCCAATACAATTAGAATAAAGGCCTACAAGTCCTATACTATCTGTTGCCCACCTTACAATCTCATCGCACATCTCTTCCTGTGCATTCCTTCTACCATTGAATTATAGGATTCAACAGTTTATATTTCAAAATAAAGGACTTTATCTGCCTTGTCTAACAATCTATTCTTGGCAGCTAGAAAAATCTTGAGACACAGATCTTACTAAATATTTAATGAATGACTGCTATGTTCATAAAAGTAATAAAATAATTTAATATAGTATAATTAATACAATTTGGTCTGTGGAAACTTCAAACATAGGATCTGAATTTTTTTTTTTTGAGAAGTTTTTCGCTATAGAGTGTGTGTGCTTGCCAGAGAGAGAGAGAGACAGAGAGACAGAAAGCGAGAAATCACCCCCCCAGGGGGGATGGCCACACTGCAATCCCTTCTCCTCCATTCTCCTCTCGGGATCTTGGGTATGCACGCGCACGTGCCGGGCATGAGTTTTAAGTCACCGGGTATGGGATGCAAACCACAGTCGACTACGTGGGAGTCCAGCAACATAGCCATTACGCTAACTGCTGGTTCCCATAGGATCTGAATATTAAGACTGTGTTGACTCCCTTGATGAGAAGTTTGTATTCCTCTTCTGTCCCAAACACCAATAGGAAATAGTAATAACAGTTTTAAAATGGTAAATAGTAGTAACAGTTTTAAAATATTTTAAAAATGTGGACTTATCATAAGAGAATAGCTTATCCTAGACTAATGCTCCTGTTGATAACAATTATAAACCACACATAATGGTGTGTAAGTAGACAGAACAAGTCTAAATAAGCCACAGAAAAGATCAAGAAATCCCTTTGGGAGTGGCTAATATGAAGAATACTTGATTATCAGTTATAG